AAGCCCTAGAGAGCATCAGAGTAGCAGGAAGGAGATACAGTTAGTGGTTTCCTCTATTTACCACTTTCCCAGTTATCGTCCTTGAGTCCATGAAAAACGATTAGTAGGGGAAAAATGCTTTTTAGTAACTGTAAATACAGTCTCCAAAACACTATTTTAAGCTGCTAACAAGCATGAAAAGATGCATTAAACCACATGATTAGTACCTCAAAGAATTCAGGCAAGTCTCTCTTTAGAAACCGACATGAAGCAGAGAATGTGATAAGAATTGAAGTCCACCTTCCTTGTCTTGCATGATATGGGGCGACTTGAAGGGGAACTAGGAGGGACTTGATTTGATGAGCATATGCAGTTGATTTTCACTCATCCCGTGAAAAATGTTAGAAAGCAGGTTGGGACTTGGTGAGCTTGGGCAAGTGAATGTAAACTGGACACACAAATGGAATATTCGTAAACTGCAGTAAGTTAGAAAGCGAGCCAGAAAGTTAACTGTGCATACTGAAGCTTTGCCAAATGGGTCCAAATCCTTGGGAAAGGGGTTAAAGGTGTAGATGGCAGAGCTCTGGAAGGCAGCTTTGCTCACCACTCTACCAGCTTGTCCTTGGCATGGCAGTAAAAGATGGAAGAGTTAAAAGAAAAGGACCGCTTTCTGTCTGAGCATTGAGAAGCAAAGCAACTTTCTCCCAGTCTTTCAATTTCCAGGTGCTGTTATTTATTCATGTCTAAGCTTAGAGTATTATTTTCTGTTTTCAAGTTAGCTTTTATACAGCACATTAATCTCAGAATCTACTCTTCCAAGTATTACACAAGGTGACGATTTATAGAGAAACAAAAAAACTCCTTTCCTGTTCTCCAGCTTGGGTTCCTTAGCTCATCGGGCCACATTTAAGGGTGCTTTGTTTCAGAGGTTGATTAGAATGGCGCCCTTGGTTCTGATTATAGTGCAGCTATTTGTACTGCCCGAGTCTGGGCATTGCATTAGATTAAAACTTCCATTTTGGGATATGTAGTGACTAAAAATTCTCTCCTAGCTTCAAATTGGCACAAAGCATGTATCTCAGTAGAAGGAAGATTATTGAGTACTGAACCACAGGAACCCCATATTTTCCTTCTTTTATACTTGTATAGGGGGGAAAGAGACCCACCCACAGCACCTATGGTTTCTCCATTCGTAGGTAGAAATTTCAAGCATTGTGAGTTCCTTCCCAAAGTATAGTCAGTGGGTTGCTGTGACCAGATTAAATCGGATCTGACAGGCCTTGTCTTCTGCATTAATAGATCCCAAGGATTCTATGAAATCATTTCAGCTTCTTTTCAGAAGAGGAAGAAAATGATGAGGCCCTTTTGACCCCAGAAAATAGCACTTCTGAGCCCTGGTTTCGCGAGCATGCTTCCATTTCCAGCTGTTCCCCATCTAAAAGTGAATTCAGTGCATGTCTCTGAGTTGGTGATATTCAGCACTCTGTTCTACAAAGGTCAATTGGCCTAGACTGCCCCCCAAAGTGGGCAGGTCTATGGAGTGGAACTCAAGACAAAAAAGCAAGGATGAGTTGACATTAAAGTTATCACAACTCAAGCACAAGCCGCACTCAGGCAGGCAGCTCACCACCATCATCTAGACAGGCCTGTCACGCCCCAGTTTCTAACATGGCCAAGATGGCCATGTTTTGTTGATTTGAAAACCCAAATTAATTAGGTATAAACACTGAGTTGCATTTTATTTCCCAACACTTTCAACCATTTTACTCATATATGTCAACAAGGTGAAAATGTGCACTTGGTCTTAGACTGTTTCTCTAAGTTACTTAAAAAAAAAAAAAAGCATTTCTGAGTACCTTTTTTGGCACAACACTGTGCTGTTACACATGCATTCTCATATTGGACCCTTCTAAAGAACCTGCAAGTATGCAGTGTTACCGCTCTATTTTACAGAAAAGGAAAACTGGTTTGAGGGATGAAGTTATTTGTCTGAGGCCACAGAATCTGTAAATGATAGAAGCAGCACTGCTAATAAGGTGTTACTCATCTCTCTCTCTCTCCCATTTAAAAAAAAAAAAAATGAAGACTATGAAAAATATGCCCCTGGTTAAGGCCTCAGATGTTCTTGAGACAGAACTAGAAATCAGAAATAGGAGCCAGGTAGGTCTGCAGCTCTGGCTGAACTCAAGTTCTCAAACCTCTTCTTGGACTGTGTTTAAATGGTCTCCTTAGCTGGACTCTTGCTCTGCCCATCATAAGCTATCCCCATCCTCTGGCTCCTGCTTGGGGAAAGAATATCAAAAAAAATTTAAGACTTTTAAGGAAGTTTAACATCATTCTGACAAAAATAAATAAACTCTACATTCGGTGTTTGTAACTTTGGAATAATAACCTAATGGGAAGGAGGTTCAAATTTTGACATAACTTGGAAGTTAGCGGGGGTCATTTTTTATACCTAAAATACCTAAATACAATGAACTGCATATAAATTTGGCAAGACAGTTTTGGAGAACCGGCCAGATAGGCTGGCCGGGGTTCAAAAACAAAGAAGCAATCTGGTGGTCTCACAATTTACCACTATCAAAACTTCCCTCGTGTAAATCTGAACCCAGTCCAAGAAGTCTGTCAATAGCAGGTTGTTCTAGATCAAGTTTACGATATGGTACAGAATGGGGTAGGGGGCAGATACACTTAAAATATACCCAAACATGTTTAGGTCAAGTCAGTAATAGTTCATGATAATGAAAGCATGGAGTAGTCTTGTCACTCAGAATCCAGCCCACTGGATACTGTAGTGTAAGCAAGTGCTGTACTGTTTCCCCCCTGCTGGCAGACCCTAGTCACTAAAGCCTTGAGCTGCTTCCCCGAGACTCTATACCACACATTTCCAGCGAGTATCTCAGGGGCTGGAAAGCGCGGAAGATCCAACCGTGGGGGAAAAAACTGGGAAGAGGTAAGGAAATAAAAAATTTCATTTATTCCCAGACCCCTCTCATCTGCCAAAGTGCTGCCTCGGTGTTGACTTTCTTAAAGACCCCTGCAAAATCTGGCTTCTCCAAAAGAGAAACCCATGTGGCGCTGAGACAAGGTGAGGTCAACGGCTGATATTCTCCACCAACCATTTCTCCGAGTCTGGCCGGCTTCTACCTCGTGGGGGCCAAGTCTCACCACGAGGGTGAAGACAGGAGGCATGGAGGAAGGGAATGAAGGAGAGAAAAGGAGAACGGGGGAAGACCTGCGGGCCACACTTCTTTTTACTATCAACAAAAAGAGAAGCCGCATACTGACCTAAATCATCGCTCAAAGGCGCTTTATAAATTACAGGGACAAAGGGAGGGGGTGGCGGGTGGCCTGAGAACCCTACAGACACCCTACCCTCTGACCCGCCCCCCTCCCCCCTCCAGCACAAGGAAAGGAAGACAGAAAACAGAGCTCAACTCGGCCATCGGCGTGGAGCCCCCCTCCGATTTTCAATCGCCCATCCTTCGGCCCCCCTAGAAAAAATACACGTAAACACCATACCCACCCCCTGGGGCGGACACTCCCGGCCCGGGGTTCCTAGAACCGGAGGCCGGGGCATTTACTTAGTTAGATTTTTCTTGCTTACTCATTTCCCTCAAGCACCCAACCCCCCGTTCCCACTCCAAAACCCCGCTCGACCGCCTACCCTCACGGCTCCAGCCCCCCCACAGAATCCCGTGCCCCCGCGGCGGCGGCGGCCCCCGAGCCGTCCCGGTCACTAACCTGCTGCTGTAAGGGCATTTCCGAAACCAGCCAGGCTCCGGGGAGAGGTGGGGGGGCCGGCTGGAGAGGGGGCCCGGAGGGCCGAACAGACCCGCGGCGCCGGGCGAGGGCGGGAGCCCGAGGGGGGGTCGGGGAGAGGAGGGGAGGGTGGCCGTGCCGGGGGCGGGTGCGAGGGCGCCGGGACCGTCCCAGGCCAGGGAGCCGGCGAGCAGGAGGAAGTGGGTGCCCCCCTCTCCCCCTCCAGCGCCCCCTCCCGCCGCCGCCTCCTCCCCAGTCACAGGCGCGTCCTCCGCGCACGTGTGCGAAACGTCACCGGCGGGTCCCGGGGAGAGGGACAGACCCAGGCGGCGGGACGGGAACACGGCTGCCCCCGCCCTCCGTCGCCGGGGGGCGGGGAGGGGGACAGGGCGGGGAAGGAAGGGGCAAGGGGAGAGGCGGG